TTTGATTTTAGAGGGGGTACTGGGGATTGGACCCAGGACCTTGTGCATGCTAAGCATGTGCTTTACCACATGAGCTATACCCTCCCCTTCTCACTGGCTTTTATATCTGTTCAAGTTTTCCTGCCCCTGCAATCTCACTTTTCCCTCCTGCAAATCCAGAGGTGCACTCTCACCTCTCTGCAAATCCAGGTTTCTACAAAGAATCATCTCAATAATTTGTCATCATTTCCTTTCCTCCGATTCCCTGCCTTAATCCACCCCATCAGTCCTCAAAAGCTGCTCTCTTTAAGGTCCAATGATCCTCCTGTTGCTAAATCCAACAGGCCTCTTCCAGGCTCCACCCTACCTGACCTTTCAGCAGAATGTGGTTCTCTCCTCTGCACTCTCCCTCTTGAGCCATCCTCCACTTGGTTTCCAAGCCATCATACTCTCTGGGTTTCTCTGAGCAGTACAGCTACTCCTTGGCTTGCTCACCCTCCTTCACCTGCCCTGGTGTTGGAGTTTTGGGGGCTCAGTTGCACGCCCTCGTCTCCTCTTACTCATCTTCTTTCCACAAAGGAGGATTTAATCCCCACCACATATAGATGAGCTGCCATTTCGTCCCTCTAGTTCTCACTTCTCCTCTGAGCCCCTTACCTGCTCTCTCTCGGCACTCTGAAAGTTACCTCAGTCAACATGTCCAAACTGAACTCGTGGCCCTCCCCCACACACCTTATGTGCTTCCAGAGTTGCCTTTCCAGCTCCTTGTGCAAGACACAAACCTAGGAGTCATCCCCTTCCCTCACCACCTCTGATCAAGTCCTGCCAATCCTCCTGCCAACGTATTTCTCAAATCCACCCACTTCTTCTCAGGGCCGACATCATCACCCTCTTCCACGCCGTCTCACCTGGACCTCTGCCCCAGCCATCCACTCACTCTGCCCCAAGATGTCGCCATCCTATCTCGCCATCCACACTGCAGCCAATGTGATCTTTCTGAAATATCAATCAGCCTATGTTTCTTCTTGTCTAAAATACTTCCTGGTGTTTGTTAATTAAAAACACAATCCTGAGCATGGCTTGGTTTACAAGGTCTGGTCCCTCCCTTCCTTGCCAGCCTCACTTTGCCCTAGGTTGTCCCTCATTCTCCCCTTCTGGCCACACTGGCTTCGTTTCATGTTGTCTTCCATCCCAGGACCCTTCGCATCTTACTTCTTCTGTACGGAGCATACTTCCTCCCCCGACCTGTCCAGGAAACTCATCCATCAGAGCAGAGCTCCCGATGACACCCTTTAACATTCCCTTTGTCACATCCTTCTCATAAGCAGCAGTGACAATAGCAGCAGTCATTTTCCCACGTGGTTGTGCCATCCCCTACTATCCGGTGGACTCCACGTGAGCAGGGGACTGTGCCTGTTTTATTCCCCGTGACGTCACTAACTTCAAGCAGAGGGACTGGCCCGCGGGAGGCAGTCAACAAACGCTGACTGACTCAGTGAAATAATTAATGTTTGGGTTTAGACGTCACGTATTTTAAAAATATAGTCTTTACTAAAAAGTAAGAGAGCAGTTTTAGGTTCACAGCAGGATACTGAATGTGTTTTGACTTAGACTTTATTGTTTTGAGTAAATGAGCTGGAGATAATTTCCTGCTAGTCAAGATAACCTAGATATAAAAACATGTTTTAATTCCTCTTGTAGTTAAGCTTTTATCTCCCTAAGCAAACAATCAGTTAAGCCTCTTATAACCAAGCCTCTTACAGGTTTGCCTTTGAGTGGGTTTAAGAATATATGAGCCAATGAAAGGTAAGTTCTTACTTCACCTGCAGTCGCTTTGAGGGAGGAGCCTTTTTGGGAAGGAGGTGAAGACCTTACAGGAGAGGCTCAGCCTTAAAGTGAGGGGACCACGACTGGCACATCCTTCCTGGTGCTGTTTTACAGCCTAGACCAAAGCCTTGGCGAGGATCTGAGCACTCAAGCTTCACCTGGAATGTTGCCTACCACCACACTGCCCTCAGCCACGTCTGTCCCAGTCCCAACATGTGGGAGAATTCTGCCCTTGGACCAGCAGTGGAAGACTAGTGGAAAAGGCAGCCAGTGCTACTTCTGTTTCTCAACAGATAACCCTCTTTTAAAATGCCCATTCTTGAGAATGCACAGTTTTACTCTGCCATGTGGGTGGGTTAGGGAAGACTGAAACAGAGGACCTTGAAGGGGTTGCCTTGAAATCCTCCAGATGATTTAAAAGCCACAGGAATACAAGTAAATCCTGGATGGAATGCAGTTTTGAGAGCAGTCAAGGGCTGCGAGGCCTGTGGTGGCCCTATTCAAACTTGCCGAACACACCCGTGCTACCGAAAGCGTTTCCGTCCATCTTAATTGTGGGGCAGTGAACTCAACGGTTAAGAGTTTTGATATGAGACAGAAGAGGTTCCCTCCCAGCTCTGACTCTGCCTAGGGTGGCCTGTGGAAGGGCAGGTAAGAAGCAACCTAAATCCCGCAAATGTATTAAACTATCTTCAGAAAGTACGTGCCTTCAATCCAGGAGAACAGGGGTGTGTTTTTAGGGTGTGTGCATTCACACCGAGAATAATGAAACAGAAAAGAGAGGCCCCAGCATGAGACGTTGATAGATTCTTGGGCAGGTCAGGGAGAAGAGGTTATCGGAGAAGATAAGAAAACAGAGCAAATGCTAGCAATTTTGTAGAGGGAAAACTGGAATAAAATGTGAAGTCACTCATTCATAGGCTTAGTAAATATTTACTGAGCAACGACTACATACAAAGCACTGGGAGAGATAAGAAGGGCGCTGATTGCCCTTAAATAGCTTGCCTTTGAGCTGAAAGAGGAACACAGGGCTGGGAAATAGTTGAATGAGATGAGGCACAGGGAGGAGCGTGAAAGGAAAGTGCCCCATGCCCCAGGGACCTGCTCTCCCCTGTGCGGAAGGTCAGGGAGAAGGGCTGAAGCTCTTGAAGGACGCTAGCCCTGGGCGTGCAGTCTGCAAGAGTCTGCTACCTCCCAACCCCAGTGTGCTGCACTCGGTGTTGCGTGAGCGTCCAGCTCACCGTGTGTCGCTGGAAATCTGAGAAAGAGGAGTTGAGAGTGTGGTCAAAGGGGGAGCCCCTGATCTCCTAGTCCGGGTGAGGTTCTGCTGCCCTGAGCCTGCAAAGAGCAACGCTCCTCCCCAGCGTTCCCCACATGGCACAATTCCCCGCACACCTGCAGGACTGTTTGACCAAGCCTGTCTCCCCCGCTGGACCACAAGCTCCACGAGAGCAGGAAGCATGTCTGCGTCTGTTCACCTTGTACCTCCAGGTGCACGGCACGGAGCAGGTGCCGGGGGCAGGCGACGGGCCCACGGGGATCTCGGTAAACACTGGCTGAGCGAGTGAGTGACGGCATTCGTGGCTGTATAACGTTGGGTCTGGGGCAGGGGGAGGCGGAGCAAGGGGAAACCCTAGCCTGATGATTGGCAACTGGGAAGTTGAGGTTTGCCGCCATGTTTCTGCCCAACATTTCCTGGTTTCCTCCTCTGCACAGAGTGTGTGTCTTAAGTGGCTGCACTTGGGCTCAAGGAGGGCCTGAGTGAGTCATCCCATGAGGGGAAATGTGGATCCAGCTGAGGTTCCAGCAACTCACCAGACTATAGATTTCTCAGGGCAGAGACCATGTGCTGTAATTCATTTCTGAACCTCAGCAGCATAGCGGGCACTTGTGTTGCTTTGCTGACGGTTGAGTGAAATAAAAGGAGGAGGGGAGGGGAGTGAGGTGGGGTGGAGAGAGAAGGAGAGACAGAAAGGAAAAAAGGGAAGAGGGGAACTGGAAGGGGAGAGGGAGGAGGCGGAGGACAGTGACCCTGGGCAGAGGTGCTGTGGACACCCACAGCCGGGCAGGGCTGTGTACCTCCGTGAGGAGTGATCATTTGTGAGATGGCAAATGCAGACACCAGTGCCCCCTCCTATTTGTCACACACAGACCCCTGCTCCGAGGGGCTCTGGCCACCCTATGCAGGATGCAGAGGGACCCGGCCAGCCCCAGCAGCCCTGGCCGCCTGCACTACGGCCACACACTCACCTGCAGGTGGTGGGACGTGAGAACAGGCCTCTTCCCGGGACACCAGACGTCTTCCTTCATCTGCCGCAGGGCCTGAAAGCACTTCCTGCGGCAGCCCCCGTCCTCATCCAGCTGCTCCAGCAGCACCTGCTCGGCCCGCAGGAAGCTCAGCTGCCAGTGATAGTTTGAACAGGCCAACAAGCTAAACCCAAATGACTGGGGGGAGAGAAAAACAGTGGGAAATGAGAAGGATGATGCTGGCCGAGAAGAAAGCCATCTCCGAAGCAGTCCACTAGAGTCGGGGACCTGCCGCCGGGCGGGCAGCCCATCCCACACGGGGACACGGAGGGAGCCTCAGGGCCAGCCCCGGCTCGTGGGCAATTAACTGGGGAGGCTGTGTCCACTTGCTCTTGGGCAGTGCTTCTTCCACTTGAGCCTGCCCCCGAGTCCCCTGGAGGGCGTGTGAGAACACAGATTGCTGGGCCCTGCCCACCGAGTCTCATTCAGGAGGTCCGGAGCAGGGCCCGGGAATCTGCATTTATAACAGGTTCTCGGGGGCCACTGCAGGTTCTGGGGACCTAGTGAAGTCCCAGTTTCCTTCTGGAGCTGGCTGGCAGCCAGCGGTGCCGTGGCTGTTTAGGCTGAGAGCGTCTCTGGTGGGCCAGGGCCCTGCACGCTGATACCTTGATGCACTGCACTCTCTCTGGGGCAGGCCAGCGCTTCAGACACGAAGGCCACTGGGCTTTCTTGGACCAGGCGGTGGGGATCTCCACTGAGGGGGTCAGCTCTGCTTCCACCTGACCTGAGGATGTTTCCACGGCAACGCGAACCACAGTGCTGTCCATCAGCATGCTGACCTTACCTGGTGGGAAATGACAGATGGACAGTGAGAAGACAAAGCTGGGCTCAGTCCCAGCCTTCAAAGAAGGAATTTGGGAGCTGTGGCTCCAACCGGCTCCTTGTAACTGGTGGGGCAACTTTCACAATTTCAGTATCTCACCAAGGGCGGTGTGTTTATGTCAACACTAGACAATTAGCGAAGTAAGTACTAATAGAAGCATTGCTGGAAAATCTCACTGTTGGTAGGGGTTTCTTTCTTTTTAAAAAAAATCATTATTATTTAAAAATGTATTTTATTTTTTACTTTTTTCAGTGGAGGTACTGGGAATTGAACCTGGGACTTTAAGCATGCTAAGCATGCACTCTACCCCTGAGCTATACCCAACCCCACCCCAGTGGGGTTCTCTTTTTTCTTTCTTCAGTCTCCCCCAGCTCTTTAATGATACTTTTTAAAAAAAATTAAAAGGTTCTTTTTAGAAGGCTCAACTCAAAAGAGACACAGAATACAAAGAAAAGGTACAGTTTTTGCTACTGGAAGTGAAATCCAAGAATTTTTCTCTAACCCTTCCATTCCACCCCGATGTATGACCCCCTTTAGGACGGCCTCGGACCCCTTACTTATTCGTCTGCCTTTGGTAGAGCTCGGCTTAACCTGTCTCTTATCCGAGTCACAGCCTCAGAGACGGTATTTGTTTCCACCATGCGTTAACCAGCCTCGCCTCCGATGTATTTATCATCATAAGCCTTGTAATCATAAGACACTTCAAAGTGTGTCATAGCCGCTGGCTTAAAGGGTCAAGTGAGCAGAAGGAAGCCCTCCCTGTCTTTTCCAACCAGGCAAAGAGAGGGAGCGAAAATAAACGGATCTGGGAAAGTTTTCCAGCTCAGATATGAGAATTCATTTCTAATTTGTTCCCTCTTCTTTCAAAAGACACACAGCAATTTTTTGTTTGGTGGCCTTCATGACAGGTAAGGATGAGCTGTCTTGAACTGGGATCTAGTCTTTTGCTTTTCCTGGCTCAGAGAAGGAAATGGAAGCTCGTTCATTGATTGTGTTAGGTTGTTCAAAAGGAAAACACTCCTTTCCTTGGCTGGGATGTGATAAAGAGCTGATTGTCTGCAACTCATCAGAGATGCCCAGACAGGAACATGACAACGTCTGGCGCTTCAGCATTATTTACTGAAAGCACCTCGCCAACCTGGCTGGGTCTGAATCTCTTATTTGCACTTTCACTATTAACAGTGTTGCAAACTGCGGGGGTGAGCAAGTGTTGGAACCAGCTGCCTGGCCCACACCCTGCTTCTGCTGCTCTGCTCCCTCAGTTTGTGACCTTCAGCCTGTTACTCACTCTCCCTAAATCTCAGTTCTCTTACCTGTAGGACAGTTAGAAAAGTGATTCTTACTCTAATAGGGTTGCTGTGGGTATTGAATCAAATAATCTGTGTAAGCATTCTATATGTGGTAAAGAGCCATTAAACATGAGCTGTTTCCATTACGGAATTGTTGAGAACTATTCTGTCTAGACAAGAAAAAGTACACACAAGTCCTTTTCTTCCTATACAAATGGGATTGCATATTGTTCAGCAATTTTGTTTTTCACTTAATTATGTAGCTCGGGCATTTTTCACAACTCTGTATGTGTGTAATACACACCCCGGTTCTGTTTTTTTTTTTTAATTTAATTTAATTTAATTTAATTTAATTTAATTTAATTTTTTGTTAAATTTTTTTAACCCTCATCACAATTTCATTTTATTTTATTTTTGGTGGAGAGCAGATAATTAGGTTTACTTATTCATTTTTAGAGGAGGTACTGGGAATTGAACCCAGGACCCTGTGATGCTGAGCATACACTCTACCACTTGAGCTATACCCACCCCCGCTCTGTGTTAGATCCTAATTTCTCTTTTACTTCAATTTACTCTATCCATGAGAAATACATGCAAGTGCAAAAGTAAACAAAATATTTTAAAAGGGAAATGAAAAGGACGGATTTCTGGTTAGAGTAATACATTGGAATGGAGAGCCCCAAATCCACTGCCTGTAAGACATACAAATTTAAAAACATTACTTCTTAAGTAGTGAAAGAGATTGCCAGAAAGCCAGAGCATCATTTGAAACTAGAAACGAAGCAGGAACACCCATCCAGGCAAGTATTAAGTGGGAGAATTGCGAAAATACCCTGATGGCCTTCAGCCTCGGTGCTGACAGCTTCTGTGTATAGAAACTGCACAGAGAGGACAGGGGAGAGGGGTGCTGTGGGCCGAGGCTGGGGCTGCGCTCGGTGGTGAGTCAGAAGAGAAACCGCTCCTCACAAACCTGGAATCAGGAACAGCCATACCTTCAGAAAAATCATGAACTAAGAGAAACGGAATCTCTTGTGGGCTCTGGATAGTGGATCTAAAAAAACATCAAAAACCAACCCCAAATGGAAAAAAACCAAGCTCTTTCTCTCCTCCCTGGAATTTCAAAGGCATTAGTCACCCTCCCGTGTCTAAGGCTTAAATGATTACATTCTCAAATCATCTTGTTAAGATGCTACTTCTGAGAGGACCAGGAAAAATCCAACAGAAGTCTTCTTGGAGAAACGTACCCCAGATACACAGGCAGGGTGTGTGGGTCTCCAATCTAGTATCGACACATCTCATTCCTTTTAAAGGCTGCCTAATAGTCCACTAGGCAGAGGCAGCACAAGGTAAGAAGTCAGTTTCCCTTTGCCATTCGGCTGATTTCTACTTACTATCACAAAGCCTGACAGTGGGACACTATGACCCTGTGCATATTTCTTCGTGTATCCCTACGAATGTATTTCTAGAACTGAAATTGTTGAATTGCCAAGGACATCACAAAGCAAAAATGGACTGATTGCCCTTTAAAGAGGAGGTACCAATGTACACTTCCAAGAACAATGCATGCAAATGCTGGTTTTTACCACACTCACCCCTGCATGAACATGATTGCAAGTTTTCATCTGTCAGTCTACTAGGTGTTTTAATGTAATTTTCTTGAAACGTGTTAGATGGGATTTTCACGATTTTTTATTAGCCATTTATATTCTTTTTCTGTGAGTCATCTTTTTTTTGTCATTATTTCTATTGGTCTGCTTATAGCTTTCCTTATTGGTTTATAAATACTCTTCTCATTAAGGAAATTAGCCATTTTTCACAGTTGGAAATTCACCGTTTTACCCTGTATGAAAAAAGTATGTGTGTGTGCGTGTGTGCACGTATGCTACTCTGTACTGTAGCTTAAGATTTGGGGGTTGTCAAACTTAATCAGTTCTTTATGGCTTCTGGATTTAGTGTTTTGGTTTAAGTCAGTGGTTTCCAAATGTGCTGTCTCAACACACTGGAATACTGCGGCCCGTGGGAGGGTTTTGTAGTGGAAATGTGCTAATAACAAAGATCTGAGGGTTATGAGTAATTTGCTTTTTCACAAAAGTACCCAAGCTAACATCTTGGAAAGGGTGCGGAACCCAGAGCCTGCCTTATCTATGCCAGGGCAGTGATCTGCTCAAGTCCGCGGATGTGTACTGTGAGGAGGAATTCCACTCTGTGTGTCACAGCAGAACAAAACAAAAAAAAAACAGAGCTAATTGCTATTATGGGGATTGGACAGATGACAAAAACACGTGAGTTTTCCCTCAGTTTCGGGGCACGGTAATTTGAGAGCAAACAGGCCATCCAGGCATTTCCCTTATGCTTTTCCTGATCAGCTCACCTGACAAGGGACAGGTTTCTATGGCGTTTTCCACCAGTTTCCGGAACACCTGGAGGACCTTGGCGGGCACGATGTCTCCCTCGATGGTCACGTCGGCCTCATGCCACTGCCACAGGCTCTTGGTAAACTGCTCCACCTCCAGCCACTGCTGCAGGCGCTCCGGGTCCCGCAGGGGGCAGGGGAGCCGGGCGCCCCGCAGGGTGTAGTAGCGCCAGCGCTGCTGCTGGGCCTCCCGGTAGCCCGCCAGGCCTTTCACCGGGACGGTGACGAGGAACTGCGTGGGGGCCAAAACCTGGGTCAGGGAAGGAGAGAGGAGGAGTGTGAGTTCACAGACTCGGGAGATGACAGAAGTCCTCGGGGAGCCGCCCTGCTGAGCCAGGCCACGCAGTTACACGCTCAGCCCTCGGCAATGTGACCGGAGGGCAGGGCCACGCTGCGTGCTGTCAGAGGATCCCGCCTCCGTCCTGCCACCGCCCCGCAGAAAGCTTCGGGCAAAGAAATGAACTCACTGAGTCCTTCGTTTCGTGGGTCTGCAAGGACAAAGAGTGAACTGGACCTGGAACTCCAAAGGGCTCCTAGCGTTTACAGGGGAAGAGAGAGCAGGAAGGGGCCTGGCACTCACTGCATTCTGCACGTACTGAGCACTGCAGCTCCTCTGCATTAGCCCGTCTGATCTTCCCGGTCACAGGATGAGCTGGGCTTTGCTGACATTTCCCAGATGAGGAACCTGAGGCTCAGAGGGGCTTCGCGATCTCCCCAGGGACACACAGCTGGTAAGTGGCAGAGCCGCAGCTTGAGCTGAGGTCTTCTGATCGCTTGTTCAATGGTTAATTTTCTCTCAGCACCCAGTTCTTAGTCAAGTATAAATGACCCGGGATGGGTGAGATATCTGGTGTGAGTTAAGGGTGGGAAGCGTTGGGAGAGGAAGTGAGAGAATTCTGCAAAATGCCTCCCTATCTTTTTGCCTGGACTGATGACTCACAGACAGTATTAATGACTAACCCTCGCAGAATCACAGGTGAAATAAAAGCCTGTTTGTTAAGACAGTGTGAGCTACTGGGATGATTCCAAGTTTAATGGAAAAACACGAACAGAGTCTACCTACTCTGTCTCTACAGGAACTGAGTAAGTAGTGGTCAGGCCGATAGTCCAAGGCATAGGACAAACTGGTCAACAGATGGTACCACCAAAGAGAAATGACCTTTAACCACATCACACGGCAGCCTAGTCCACCCCGCGTGTTCCCCTATCACTTGGCTACACACTGGAGATACCTCCCTTCCATGGAAAGTTCTGACGATGGAATTTGGATAACCTTTACCCAGGGTCCAGTCAGTGGCCAGTTCAGGGGTGCACACCCAAATCAGCAACAGCTGATTCTGCCTCGTTGTCAGGGAACAGGAGTTTGATGCTTTAGATGGTGAGCCTATGTGACTTCTGGTGTCCATGGACATACAGTGGGATTAAATAAAAAGGCTATACATTATTTTAAAATTATTAAAAAATAAAAATCTACACATTGTTTGAACCCACTTCCATGTGAATTCAAGAACACAGCTATCATGTTATTAGTCTCATAAATGATGCTAAATAAATAATTACTGAGTTTGGTCCAAGAGAAAATTAAAAAGGCATTTTTTATATACCCTGCTATAACAATTTTCAAAACTTATATCATATGCAGAACACGATTGTCTATAAACACAAGATCTATTTTAAGCTATGAATTCTAAGTGAGACTACAGAAGGAAATTTCCTCAGATACAGTCCTAGGAAAAGTGATGTTATGTTTCTGCTCCCAGTTACTGGCCTATATTTGTCTTATTTAGGTCGGTGGGGTGGTAGAGGTGGGCAGATAACGTTCTGACATTCCAGGATCCAACTTGATTTTACAATTTCATCCCAGGGTAAATTTCCTAAAATCTGATAACTGTCCCCAAATCCACAAGTCCCGGAACCTTGTGGGTGGCCCTTGTGCTCTCTAGACTTGAAACGTACTGGACTAGCAGTGATCTTTTGTTCAGGTACTAATTCTCTTGCTTACTTATTCATTCAGCAGAAACGGAGTGTCTACCATGGGCCACACACCATGCTGAGTGCTAAGAATGGAATAGTCAATAAACATAATTCTTACAAGGAAGGAACTCACGGTCTTGTGTGAGAGCTGGGGCATGAGTACATAGAAGTTTAACACGAGCGAAAAACGTTCTCATGCATCATAGGAAAAATTGAGATAAAGGAGCGTAGGGATTCAGAACGGTTCAGGGCCACACTTCTCTCGTCTCTAAGAGGATGCAAACCATCATGTCTGTTCTACTAGGGCGTGTGCGGGTTTGAGTGAGATCATTTCTGGGAGAACGGCTTGACCCACACTGCACTGCTGCACGAGGGCCGGTCCTCACACACGGCCCTGGGGGCTCACAGCTCGGTGGGACTCCAGCAGGGACAGGGTGGCCAGGCTGCTTGCGCAGTTCCTAAGGACCGCCTCTTTCATTTTCTTCCTCCCCTACCTGCAACCCACAGACTATCACTTTCAACTATTTTCTCACCAACGTTGAGTTCCTTCTATCCCGTCCCCAGTCCATTAAGTGAGTGCTTGATAAATGAATGTGTGTCCAACTGAACTTTAATCAGTACAGTGGAAATGTGCTTTGGAATCAGAAGCCCCAGGAGTTCTGGCCCGAGTGCCTAATATGACTTGATGAAGTTACTTGACTTTGCTGGGCTTCAATTTTTATCATCTATAAAGAAGGAATGTGGGGCCTCAACTGCGTTAACACCTCAGAAATGAGTGTGTAAAATGGTCAATAGTAAGAATGCCTGCGGGAATGTGAGGTCTTATAAGTCCTCTCAGTGGTGTGAGCGCCCGTCCCATACTGAGACCACCCACCCAAGTTTCCTGGCTCCCTGGATAAGCACTTAAGAGACAAGGGACCACTTACCTTAATGTTCTCATTGTATGTGTCAGAGTAAGGAATGGCTTGAAATCGAATGTCTTGGCGGCTGATTTCTGTGGTCAGATGATGGACAACTTTCTGCATCTCCTCCACCATCTGGGAAATCCACTGGCGCCTCAAGTCTACCTGGGTGTGAAAGGATGAGCAAAGGCGGTTAGTCCTGGTTCAGGCCCCGAGGAAGCGACGAGACAGGGCACAGTGGTGGTGCCCAAAGGCGTCAGCTCAGAAAATCCTGCCCTCCCAAGAACTCCAGGGGAGATGAACTGAGGTCTGATGACACTCGTTGGTGCATCAACGTTCCCTTCTGAGAGAGAAGCATCGCTCAATATTTATCTAGTACCTGCCATGTGGTAGGTGTCCGTCTAGGGTCCCAGCACAACAGAGAACAAGATAGAGATACTTGCCCTCAAGATGAAAATATAAGATACATGTGTATATGTGTATATATACACACATGTATCCATATATGTGGACACACACGTGTAGAATGGATAATGTAACAAAGGGTACGGTAAGTCCCAAGAAGAACAATGAAATAGGACAAGGGACTAGAGAATAAAGGGCTGCTATTTTACACTGAGTGGCCAGGGAAGGCTTCTCGAAGGAGGGGACATTTGAGTGAGCCCTGACGACAGCTTGGGAAAGCAAATTCCAAGGCCCCTAAAGCAGGAGCAAGCTTGGCCAGGCCCAGGGGCCAGCAAGGAGGCCCCTGTGGTCATAGCCTGGAAAACAAAAAGGAAGGTAATAGGAGAGGAGTCTGGAAAGACGGCAGGGGCCAGACGGTCCTATAGGGTTTTGTGAACTGTGTGAACTGGGGTGAGACTCTAAAACGTGATAACAATGCCTGCCGTCCAGGCTGGTGACTGTTGAACAATTTTATGCAGGTGAACGTGCCACAGCCTGTTTCCTGCTATGTCGTCACTAAATGATAGGTCCCTGTTCCCCGAAGCTCACCTCCTCCTTTGGCATTTAGACCCATAAGAAAAGGCGTTTCTTCTGACTTGGCGCTGGAAAACACCCGCAGAAAATTGAACACCAAAAAGTATATACTTTCGAAGAGACTTAAGGTTTAGGGGAAATAGGTGTTCGTAGGAAACACAAAGTAACTTTTAGTAATCTCCAGGAGAGTCAGAAAAATACAAATAAAGAAGAGATGGGAAGAGGCTGCGGTTTTTTTCCAGAAACAAGGGGCTCTTGGTTACACTGCTTGGCCAGCACCTGCAGGCTGGCGCATTATAAGGTCCCTCAGAGACGCCGCAGAGCCCGGCCAGGAATCGAGCTCATACATCTAAATGCAACGTCCATCCGTGAATTTGCATGTTCCCTCCGAGTTTTGTGTACTGGCTATTTCTATGTATTCTAGAGTGGTGAGACATCCATAACATGGTCAAGAAAAAAAGCCCAAGTCAGGGAGATTCCTATCCATTTGCCTGAACTAAGTCATCAGCTAGTCCCATCACCTGAGACCTCGTACCTCCGCCCAGCCAGCGAGCCAGCCACATATGGACGCAGAACACGAACACGCGTCTGCATCTATCGGCCCACATGCCGCAGGTCATCTGTACGGTCAGCTCGTTGATAACGTCACATGCAACGTCAGTTCGTCAGTAAATATTGATGCAGCACCTGCTATGTGCCAGGCACCCTGTGACCTGCTGGGACCCAGAAATGAGTACCGCAGCCGCAGCCGTGCGCTTTGATAGTGCGGAGACTGACATAAGCACAGGACCGAAGTGGGGGCCCTGACAGGAAAGTGTGGGGTGCCACGGGGTGCAACAGGGCACTCGGCCTAGTTTTCACACGTACATTTCCCCACACAGAGCGCCGTCTTTGAGAAACTAGTACATTCCAGGTGCCTAGGAATACAACGAGGCCCCTGATCTTAAGGAGCTTATAATCTCTCCAGAACTACATGACGATTAACTACCATATATAAAATAGATAAAAACCAGATTTCTTCTGTGTAGCACAGGGAACTATATTCAATATCTTGCAGTAACTTATAGTGAAAAAGAATACATGTAGGTATGTGTATGACTGCAGCATTGTGCTGTACACCAGAAACCGACACAACATTGTAAACTGACTAGACTACATTTAAAAAAAGAAAGAGATACATGATGAGGTTTGAGATTTGCAGATACTAACTACTAAATAGAAAATAGATAAACAGCAAGTTTACACTACATAGCCCAGGAAACCATATTTAATATCTTATAGTAACTTATAATGAAAAAGAATATGAAAAGGAACATATGCTTGTATATGTATGACTGAAACATTATGCAAAAAATAAAAACTACACGATATACATGAAATCGTCTTCAAAATCCAGGTGTCTTGTCTGACCTTAAATACAATGATTGTGTCGATACTAGCTTTCAGTATCACCTTCCTGCCACCATCAGCCAGCCATGCCTCTCTCTGTATCTTCCGGAGTGTGCGAGTGGAAGAGAGAAGGTTGTCACAGAGGGGCAGGTTATCTGTCATGTTTTCAGAAACAGAATTAAGGGTCCTCTCCAGTGTAGGACTTCTCCAGTGTGTTGGGGTTCAATTCCATTCAACCAGTTTTTGCTGGCCATTCACTTCACACCAGGTTCTGGCCATACATGTTGTCAAGAGTGGACCGATGAGATGACAGAGCCAGACAAGTAAACTGGAAATTAAAATGACAGCAACCTAGTGCTAAGTATGGGTTTGCATGGGATGCTAAGGGTACACAGGACAGGAAACTGCCTCTAGTCTGGAGGTTCAGGCGCCCTTGAAAATCTTGAAAGATTGGCAGAAGTTAGCTTGAAAGAGAAGGGCATGAAGTTTGTTCGAGAAAGAGAGAGAGAAAGAGGTAGACTCCTAACATAGGAGCACACAGGGAGAAATGCAGTTGCTCCTGTACTGTTGGAGCAGAGATTGCCTTGGAGGAGAATGGTGAGGTGGGAGAAGAAACCATGAGAGGTCTTGAAAATAAAGAAAGAAGAATTTCAAGAAGAAAGTCAACATTAAGGGGCTGAGTGGGACAAGGTCTCCAAAATACCCATGAACTTTGGCAACCAGAAGAGGGCGGATGTTTGGAGAAGCGGCGGGCATGAAGCCAGCTGGCCGTGGGTTTAGAGAGAACAGGGGGCGAACAAGTGAAGACAGAGGTAAGTGGCTCCTTCAGGAAGTTTGGCTGGGGAAGGACAAAACAAAAACAAGGCAAAAACCGGTTTTTCTAAAATGACACATAGGTTCAAACATGTTTAAATGCTGAGAGAGAAGAGCCATGGGAGAAGGAAGAGGCAGCAGAGAACAAGGGCCCTGAGCAAGGATTTCTTGGTAGGAAGAGTCGTGGAAACCCAGAAACCCGGTCATGAGGGCACCCTGGTGTGTCAGAAGGAAGGAAAGACAGATGCAGATGCAGATAAAGGGGAGAGGTTCCCTGCATGACGTCCATTTTCTCTGTAGAGTAGAGACAAGGCCATACATTGAGAGTGAGGCAGAGAGGCAGAAGGCAGGGGACTGCAGGGTGACAGACACTGGAAATGGCCTCTCTAAGGAATGAGGGGCTAGCTAGGCACATGTGTAAAGGTAGCCGGGCAGTACCAGGACTCAGCTGTGGGTCTGTGAGGCACTGGGGTACCGTGGGCTCAATTATAAGATGTTCTCCAGTACCTCTCTACCCTCTGGGGTAACAGTGAGGCACTAAGATTAGAATTTGCTGGCAAGATCTGGAGAAGGCTTAAGATCAAGGGAAGGTGTCTGTGGCTGGCCGTGTTTTTGAGCCTGGGCAGAGAATGGAGGAAGCCAGTTTGGTAGATTAGGACATACTGGACAAGCTCAGGGACCAGAAGTCTCATCAGGAGTAATGGGAAAAACTTACACAAGGGCTAACTAGACAGAACACGGCAGGCAGAGTGGTTGGGAAATGGTATTCTCAAAGAGTTCAGTTCTCAAAATGTATCCAGAACTAAGGCTAACCTTCCAGATCTTTCAAGTCCCCTGATGTGAGTCCACAGAACTTGCATGTTAGTAACATAGTGGTGACTTCTATATATGCATATACATTCTGTTTCCCGAGATAATAAACTAACGAAAGATTCATTACCGTATTGATGCTACAAAATAATTTTTAATGGATAAAAGCTGGAGAGAATGCGCGTGCACGTGTGTGCATGCATGTGCGCACAATTGAAAAAGTTCACTGTGAATCTCATCTACAAATTATGCTACCATTTGATGTAGAATTTTCTTCCCAGGCAAGACAAGTTCAGGCACTCCTTAGAAGACACCTGTAATTTCCAACTCATTATTCCTCTTTTGGATCGGTTTTGGCTTCTGAAGATGAAAGTCAGAATAAGGAAATACTTTTCTGGGCCTGCAGCCACTAATTCTGGTTTGATTTTCTTTGTCTATCAGTTCTGCTGTAATTCGGACTCTGAGAACTGGAAGAGACCTCGGAGGTCATTTTGTCCGGCATCACTCCACAGAAGCCAGAGTGACAAGGCGGCTCTTCTAATGTCGCCTGGGTAGTGAGCAGAAGGACTAGCCCTGATGCCCAGGTCCCCTAATTCCTCTTTCTGTCACGCTGTGCTACACCCTCCAACAGAAGTTCCAGGAACAAGACCTACCTTAATTCTCTTTCTGAATCTAACCATGCCCTCCATTTGGAGCTGATGAAGTAACAAGTCCACAGTCTCTGTTTCTGTGGGCACCCCTGACTGGTCTGGCATCCCACAGGCACACAAGGGCCACACAGCAGGAGCCTGACAGTGATGCAGGGCTTAGCCAGAGCTGCTGGGGGCGAGCCCTGCCGTGGCCAGGCCTGCCCCCAGTACCCTAGCCACTGGAGTCAAGTGGGAGCCTCTTTCCTGTTAGGTGATGGGCAGCCCCTTCTCCCTGTGTCTCTGGACACACTTCCTGCAGTTGGTTCTTACCAAACAGGGTCCCAGTGCTATTCAGCAGCCCCAGGAGGGGTTTGTGCTGGGACTTTCTTAGGTTCAGTCCCACATACTTCTTGTCACTCCCGTGGTATAAACCACAACCCAGAAACCCCAGGCTGTTTCCCTCCGGCTGTCCAGATCATGGCCTAGCAAGAAGATTCCTTTTTGGGGTGTGGAAAACCAGAGAATGGGGCCTGAGGCAGCTTTACAGGGAGTGATCTTACGGGAAGAAAGAGGTTCCACCATAGGCAGGGACTTATCGCCAGCCAAATCCCTGAATCCCTTTACCGCCTCTCAGACTTCAAGAAGCAAGCTAAGATGCCAGTCACATCCTTGAAGCAGCCTTGTCACTAAAGTAATTTCACGGCAAAGCTTTGAAACAAATCTAAGGGGGAAAAGATGATCATTTAAGAAGATGGCACAGGGGACAGGGGACTACATTCAATACTTTGTAATGGCCTAAAATGAAAAATATGAAAAGGAATACATATGTATAACTGAATCACTTTGCTGTACACCAGAAATTAACAGAACATTGTAAACTGACTATACTTCAATAAAAATTATAAAATTAAAAAATAATAAATAAATTCATACCACTCTGGAAATTAAAAACAAAGAAGTTGGATCCAGACCCATTCAATCCAAACTTGATCTGGGGTGATGTTTAAGTTTCACTCACTTCCTCTGTTGATGAGGTCAATGAACAAAGGTGCATTTTTCTTTTTAAAAGACTGCGTTTGTGGGTGTGACAGAGCAAAAGCAGAAATGAATTCTATTAAATTAACCAGGCCCACGCTACATGAGCTTGCATCATCTAACCTAACCCTTCCATTGTACTGACCCCGGGAAAGTCATGCCACACTTATGAGTGCAGATTCAGTCACTCTGATTAAGCGGAGTTTATGCAAAAACTGTCATCAGAAGCTCCTTTGAAGGTACCATCCATTTCTGTGGGCCCTCCCCCCTCCAGGGCTTGTCTACGTGTCCATACACACGTCCACCCCTCCAAACACGGCGTCAGGCTCGCTGTTGTCCCACATCATTTGTTACTATTAATAGCTCAAGTTTGTGAACGATTTACTGTTTCAAATACAAATTATTGAGGATTCAAGGTTATTCCCTATAACAACATCAGTCTGACTCACTCGATTGTCCACATGTTTTCCTGAGAGAGAGGTAGGGGGTGTACTAAATAGCCTACCAGGAATGCCACACTGGCCTGGCCACACCCATGAGTGTGTGGCCTGTGTGAATGTCACCCATGATGAGTGCCACCAGGGAAAAAAGGCTGAGAACTTCCTTCCAGACAACAGGAAGTCAGACTTTCAATTCTGAAATTGCATTCAATCTAGTAATCAGCTTTGTTCTTTTTTTTTTTTAAAGGGGCAGACATTGTCTCTGTTTTCCCGGGGTTAATCATTTAAAGGCATGGAGACTTCAGTTCAATGATAACACACAGATAAGACAACACATCCCCATCTTTTCAGATTAATTCTTCCGTGAACCAAATGCTTGGGCCCACAGGCGATCTGCAGCGCCCACACGCGGCAGATGCAGTCGGAGCAGCAGCACCGCGGAGCCAGGACCGGTGGGTCATTGCTGGGTGCAGGGTACTCCACAAGGTTAGCACCTGTGAGCCTCCTGATAAGCCTTTACAGTGGATGCTATGACTATCCCCGTTTTAAAGAGGAGGAAACTGGCGTTCAGAAAGTATACATAATACTTTATGTATTATGGGTCCCAGAGTTAGCAAGTCACAGAACAGAGACCCTCACCCAGGCAGTGCCATTCTGAAGCGCTTGCTCACAACCACTGCACAGCTCTGCCTCCTCCAGGACCAGGCGACTGGGAACGAAGCCCACGCTAACTGCTTGAATGGGGTTCCCTTAGCTGGAAGTCCTCTCCTCCCCTTGTTAAAACCCTACACATGCACTAAGGCTTTGTCTCCCCTCCTGTTTCTGCGAAACGCCTCTCCCATCAGAGCCAGCACTCCTCTCTTCTCCTCCAGCACCCTGTTTAAATCTCTGTGTAGCCCTCATGATGCTAAGCATTTGCCTGTCTGCACAGGGAACTTCCTTCTTCTGCCTCTGGAGTTATGCGCAGGTGAGATAGGACCATCCTTAAGGATACCTCAAATATGGAATTTCTCTCTCACTGAGCAGGCCACAGCTTGGACCTGGACCTGTGTTTGGGGCACAGCGTTTTGTGCCCAGTGTGTGTTTACGGCGATGTAGAGGGTTTAGCAGAGGAAACATGATTTGGTGTAAAAAAAAAAGAGTAAGCTAAAACCTCAGTTCCTTCATTAATAGAGTGACTTTGGGGAAGTCGTTTAATCCCCACGAGCCTCTGCTTCTTCCTTTGTAAAAATGAAGGTAAAACAAAAAAAAAGTAGAGACAGTACACACATGTCACGTGGTTGTTGGTTAGAGTGAATGAGATGCTGTGGGTCTTCAATGGGTCAGCACGTTTTACATTCGTCTTGCATCAGCTTCAATGAGCCTCGAAGACACTTCTGACCACGTATGTGCAGTGATACTGTGTAAATGTCCAGGGTACCTAAGACACTGTTCTTCCCTCTGGAAACTTATAAAGAATAAAATGATATAATATTTAAGTTGTCACCAAGATAATAATAGGAAAGGTGTCAGGAGCCAAGATACAATAGATGGCCAAATCAATATTATCAGTAATCATTCTGATGGAGGTCACAGGAAGGAAACAACATTTCATGCAGGGGTGTCCGGGGAATCTTTCTAGAGAAAGGAGACTCTGAGCTGAGTCTGAAGGATAAGCACAAGCCAGAAAACGGAGAAGAGACAGGCTATCTTCCCCCTGTGGAGAGGGGGCAAGTAAGCTCAGGCCTGAGGCCTCAGGGCACAGTTCCTATGGGACAGGAGTCTCAGACTTAAACACTGATGGGGACAGAGTAGGGGATACATGGGGAGAGGGCAGGTGTCAGACCCAGTAGCGCTGCAGCCGCAGGTTGGACAACAGCTCCAGAGCATGGCGCTAGGCAAGAAACGGGGACCTGTGATTACCAGATATCCTGATTTTTTTTTCCCATATAAGGTGGAAATCTGGATTTCTATGCAAAAATCTCACTATTTGGAAATGTTGGTAGTGAATCTGAAAAGTTAAAAAAATTCTCTGCCCGCCAAAGAAAACAGGCAGATGCTGGATTCAACACGTGGAGCTATTGTTTAGAATTTCTGCGACTGAAGATGCTGGGAAGCAGCGAGCAGAAAGATCAAGTCTTTTCGAATGCCAGGCTGAAATATTTGGACTTTTTTCTTTCAGAAAACAGGGCCACGGGGAAATGCCAGCCAACACCCTTTCCATTTATAGCCCCTCAAGGGGGAAATAATGGGTGATCACTTTGTTTGCTAATTTTTATTACCATAAGTTGTCCCTATTTATCTTTTCTTAATGGTTTTACCTAAGACATCAACTTTACTTTTCACTATAATAGTGAACTCTGCTTTGTTTACTTATAAAGGCATGAAACCCCTAGACCAGTCTCTAACTTTTAGTTCAAATTTTTTTATTTTAAGGGTGGCTCTGGGCCTTAGTAGCTTCATCTGTAAATGGAAAGGCTTAAATTAGATAACATTTAAGGTCCCTTCAAGTTCTAACATCCTAAGAGCCTATGACTCTCTATAGAAGAAATGAAATTAGTTCTTAACTGATGTGTACTAAAAAATATAGTGATAATTCATATATTTTTTAATCCTGCAGTTTTACCATTTTCAAAATGCTTTCTTATTTACTCTTTTCAATGACTCCACTAAGAGCCTATTATCACTCCCATTTTACAGATAAGCAGACTGAGGCTCAGACAGGTTAAGTGCCTTGCTTGTGACCACCCATGCATCAATGGGAGAGCTGGAGTTCCAGCCTGCGTTCTAACTCTCCATTCTACATTCTATACCCAACATGCCCCTGGCACTGGGACCTCAAAGAGGACTGAAATATGATAAGTCCCTAAATACTTTTATGGGTGATAGTCTTGGGCTCCTGAGGGCATTTTCTGTATCTTTGGAAACAGCCTGAAATCCTTTTTGAATCAAGGTTGGCTGGGCGGGAGGAGATGGGAGGGGTGCACGGGAGAGACCAGCGCCTGTCCTTACCTTATTCAGTAGGCAATCTTCTAAGTTTTCTTCAGTCAGGGATTTCATGGCTTCTTGGTCCGTCCTGAGCAGGACAGCAACGTGCTGGTTTTCTCCCCGTAGAAGCCGCACTTGTGGGTAGCTTTCCCAGTGATGCTGGTCTCTGGGAATTTCTCCAGGAATGTGTACGTGGACCAGAGACTTGACTTCTTAATTCTTCACTCCAGTTTTCATTTCCAAATTGCGAGTATCCATCTTTCATCTTTGGGAAATTAAGAAAAGAAAACAATTTAAGGAGAGTTGTTGAATCCAATTTGAGTCCCACTCAGTTTTATCTATTTAGTTGTATTGACTGATGCTTTAACCAAAGGGCTATTTTGCAAGTTGTATTTCCCACTCAAATACTCAAAAGTTCCATTCAAGACAGAAGGTCCCCATCGTTGCTTCTTCCCACCTTTTTATGCTCTTATCTGGACACTAGATGCACCTCTGAGCTCAGTGCCTCTCATCTCCTTGTTCTTATCCTGTTGCCTATAAATATTTCTTGCCCTCCAATCCAGGAAATCCCGCACTGATTTACTTTCTTTACAATAAACAAATAGGAAACTGCCAAACCGCCAGCCTGGCCCCCGTCATTCTGCCTACAAACAAATGATCACGTGTGGTTAACCGGATCAGGGCACAACGATTTTCTTGTAGAAACACACACACACACACACACACACACGCAGAAGCATGGACACACAGGCACAAACACACAGGCACACCCAGGAATGGCAGGACAGGGATCCCACCGCTCACCTGCTGACCTTTAAATACAATCCCCCGCTTCCCACCTGAAAGCTAACAGTAAAAATAAAGTCCCTGTAAACAGGCCCCTCAAGGAAACGCTCACATCTGGTTTTGCCAGCAAAACCGTGTTGGAAAACAGCTCAGGCAGCAAATTCCCAGTCTCGCTGGCTGGGGCGAGATTTATTACAGAAAAAAAAAAATCACCATGGCTTGATCTCCCTGAACCTGGTTAAACATCAGAGCCGGCTATCAGATGATCTAAAGAAATTACAGCACTTCTGGGAGCCTGGGTCCATTCGGGGCAATGTTCCAAAGGCAAGGGTCTTTCCAAACCCACCTCTGAGTGCTGCTCCGAGTGCTCGCAACCGGCAACCGTGTTGGGAGTCGGGTCTGCTCTGCCTCCTGCAACCACCGTATTTGCATATCTTGCCGAGCTCCGCACTTGTCTGAAAGCCACACCGTAGCTCCGGGCTGCCGCGTGCTCCACCCACCTCCCTGCTCCCCGCCTTGGGTCCAGCTTCCGCAGATCCCCTCCCTGAATCTGCAATCTGATACAAATATTGTAAAGCCAGCCTTCCCTAGTACTGCCTCGGCTTTCTATTTTCTTCTATTTGTAATTCACAATCTCCCTGTTTTGCCATCCAGTGCTCCCGAATATATCAGCGTCTTCCCTCGGCTTTTCTTAACGCTGCTCAGTTGTTCTCGAACTACCGGTTTTTCACCGACGGAGCAAGAGCCTCTCCCTCGGAACTTCTCGCGATTCGGAGTTCTCTTATCAGCTTCACCGAAGCCCTCCTGTCTCTCCCACCTGCTCTTACTTTTGTCCTCGCTTCTGCTTCACTGCAATCATTAACTCGGAAGTCCCCTTCCCACTGTTCTAACGTAGGCCCTGGACCCCCGTCATCGGATGCACAAACTCGCATGCTTTTGTGCCCGTGGCTGCCCTACCTCCGTTCCGGCAGTACTGCAGCTGGTGGAAACGCTGAAAGTGGAATTCTCCTCCCGCTCTAGGGTCCAGCGACGCTTCCCAGATGTGAGCAGGGCAAACAATGAGCGGGACCAGCCGAGGAGCCTGGGAGAAGAAGAAAGGAGCACGTGCTCACGTGGCTTACTACAGTCTAATTTTACCTGGGTGCCGGACCCGGGAAACAAGATATTGTATAAACACAACCAGTTCCCTGCTCCATTGATGTACTTCCTTACGGGCAAAGGTTCCAAAATGCAGGGCAGTCCCGCAAACACAGCACTCGGACCGGACTGGCAAAGACAAACTTTCTTTGCAGATACAGATCTCTGGCTAATTGGATATTGTATCAGCAAATATTTCTTGAGCAACAGACTGCCTAAGGCTCTGTGCTAAGTCAGTGAGAGGGTTCAAAATTGACTCAGATTTCCCCCCTTCTTCGGGAAATACATATCCTCATTTCTCATGACTCACATCAAATGCAATAACAAACTTGCAAACCAGCTTTGGCTCAATTTGTTGTGAAGACCAAGAAGTTATTTTTTTGTTTGTTTGTTTTTTGTAGGGGAGAGGTAATTAGGTTGGTTGGTTGGTTGATTTGTTTGTTTGTTTTTAAATGGAGGTACCAGGGATTGAACCCAGGACCTCATGCATGCTAAGCACGTACCCTACCATTGAGCTATAACCTCCCTCCAAGAAATTATTCTTTAAAGTTGATTTAACAAGGTATTCAAAACCTTAAACCATCAGTATGAGAAGTCCTGGGAAGATAATGTCACCGTAGTTCACCAGCAGAGATATTTGTTACTGATTTACCTATTGGCCAAGATTTTCATCCCAAGAAGGGGAAGAGTTGGCTTGATCCAAATCAATCTTAAAAATACAAATCTGTTAAAGTTCACCAAGGTAATAAACTCTGACGTATTCTTTCAAAGACTTCTTTTAATCCTGGGGTGACTCAAATCTGACAGCTTAGAGGACCAGACATAGATAATTGTCTGAGCTGTGAGGAAGTCCACAACCATGAACAGCAAGATAGGGACCCTGTCTGTTCTGTATCACCCATGGAGCCCTGTACCTAACACATAACTGACGCTTAATAAATAGTGGTGAGTATTTGGTTGCATTAAACGCTAAAGTGACCACTCTAAAAAATAAAGTACTTCGTGATGCATGAAACAGTAAAGATGACCTTTTCCAAAACAGTTTATAACCAGTGATCCCTGACAGGGCTAGAGGAAAGTGAAGGAGACTGTCTAGATTTGTTTCCATCTGTCTGTGTGTCTATCCATCTCTATCTCCATGCATTGGAATGTCATATTAGATTTTCCTCAAATGGCTCAATGCTCAAAGGCACCCCAGAAACTTATTTTTAACAGAGATCAGTTGTTGATGTAATAAAACTGGCACTATGGCTTGGATGACACTTTATTTTCAAATTAAATAGTAAGGTATTTTCCATTTTCATATCTCTCTACCTGGTAAACAGAGTTATATTTTCATCTGAAACTTTCCTTTAAGTCAGGGTGCAGCTCCCTTGCCTCTGCTCACAGTCATGTGAGGCTGGCATATTTTTCAGTTGACATCACCAGGATAACATCGGGAATGAGGGAAGACTTTAAGGAAGAAGACTTTTGGTTTTATTACTTTATTATACCGTGAAGCTAACTGCTAACTGTATTGAGCTGTTCACCTCAGCTTCTGTGATACCTGAGTTAGGACATGGCAAGAAATAGGTGATGGGAGGAATTAATTATTGCTTGTTCTTGGGCACAGAGGGGACTCTTTTCCTTCTAGCCTCTAGTGCTCAGGACACATGACAAATTTGTCTGTTTTTGTTGTTGTTGGTTTTTTTTTCCTAGTTAAAAGAGACTCAGCGAGAAGATAAAGGCATCAAGACTGATGGAACAAAATAGAAAGTCCAGAAATAGACTCACACAAACATAGCCATTTGATCTTTGATAAAGTGTAAACACAAGTCAGCAAAGGGAAGACACGTTTTTTCCACAAATGTGTATTGGAACAATTGGTCATTACAGGAAAAGAAATAAACCTGGATACAAAGTTTATACCTTACATAAAGATGGACTCAAAATGGATCATAGGTCTAAATGACAAACATGAACTAAATCCTTGTGACCTGAGGTTAGGTCAACGGTTCTTAGAAATGACAGCAAATGGATTATCTGTTTTAAAAAATTGATAAATTAGAATTCATCAAGTTTTAAAATTTGTTCTTCCAAAGATACTGTCATGAGAATGAAGAGATCAGATATGGACTAAGAGAATATATTTGAAAAAAACTGCATACCCAACAAAGGACTTGTATCCAGAATATATAAAGAACTCTCCAAGTCAGCTATAAGAAAACAACTCGATCAAAAAATGGGCAAAAGACCTGAATAGATATTTCACCAAAGAGGATACAAGGATTGTACATTAGCACATAAAGATAGTCAATACCATTACTCACTAGGGAAATGCAAATTAAAACACAATAAGATACGATTACTTACATTCTTATTTAAATGGCGAAAATGAAAAAAAATACTGACAATATCAAGCACCGACAAGAATACAGAGCAACTAAAACTCTCATACATTTCTGAGGGGAATGGAAAATGGTTTGGAAATTTCTTTAACAAGCAAACAGATAAACACAAACTGTGGTACATTTATACTAGAGAATAACACACAACAATAAAAAGAAGCAAACTATTGATACATACAACTTGGATGTAAGAATTTAAAACTTTGAATTTAAGCATAATTTAAGAATTATGCTGAGTGAGAGAACCTAGTTTCAAAAGGTTACATATTGAATGATTCCATTAATTTGGCATTATTGCAGTTGATAAACCTACATTGTCACCTCATTATCACCCAAAGTTTTAGTTTACATTATGGTTCACTCTTGGTATTGCACATTCATGGGTTTGAACAAATGTATTCATCATTACATCGTACAAAGTATTTCCACTGCCCTAAAAATACTCTGTGTTTTGCCTGTTTATCCCTTTTCCATCCCCAACCACTCTGAACTACTGGCAACCACTGATCTTTTTTTACTGTCTCCATAGTTTCACCCTTTCCAGAATGTCATACAGTATTTAGCCTTTACAGATTGGCTTCTTTCACTTAGTAATATGCCTTAAGGCTCCTCCATGTCTTTTCATGACCTGATAACTCATTTCTTTTTAGCACTGAATAATATTCCATTGTCTAGATGTTCCAAAGTTTATTTATCCATCACCTACTGAAGGACTTCGTGGTTGCTTCCAAGTTTTGGAAATTATGAATAAAGCTGCTACAAACATCCAGTTACAGGTTTTTATGTGAATATAAGTATCCAGCTCCTTTGGGAAAATACCAAGGGCAATTGCTGGATCATGTGGTAAGGATATATTTAGTTTCATAAGAACTCATCAAACTGTCTTTCAAAGTGGCTGTACCATTTTGTATTTCCACCAGCAATGACTGAGAGTTTCTGCTGCTTCACATCGTCC